AACACAAAAGTTACATGTTTGGTGAAAAAGTTGGATGAGAAGCTGAAGCACAGTGTTACCCCACATTTACCCCACATTTTCACGAGCTTTCCGAAAAGGTATTATGCGCGTAAATCGGATCACCGAGTCAAAAGTTATGACCAAAACAGTGCATAGCATCGAAAAGTTTGAATTTTGAACTTTGAAAAACTTTTTGAAGTTGAGGTTCTCGATGTTGGACCTCGAAAACCTGTTCTCGATGTTTAACCTCGAAAACCTGTTTTCGATGTTGAATGTCGAATGCATCTTCTCGATAATTGAGTATCGAAAACATCTTCTCGATGTTGAGTATCGAAAACATCTTCTCGATGTTGAATATCGAAAACGTCTTCTCGATGATGAATATCGAAAACTTCTTCTCGATGATTGAATATCGAAAACGTCTTCTCGATGAATGAATATCGCAAACTTCTTCTCGATGTTTGATTATCGAAAACTTTTTCTCGATGTTGAATATCAAAAAATTCCTTTTCGATATTGTGTCGAGAAACATGTTTTCGAACTCCAAACTGCGAGAAACGTGTTTTCGAACTTCAATCCGCGAGAAACCTGTTTTCGAAGATCAATCCGCGAGAAACCTGTTTTCGAAGTTCAATCCGCGAGAAACATGTTTTCGAGCTTCAAACCTGCGAGAAACCTGTTTTCGAGCTTCAAACCTGCGAGAACCTGTTTTTCGATAAGACAATATCGAGAAATCAAAAATTCGAAAATTACAGGTTTCAAAAATGAGGATATATTGCTTGATCGGTTCTGAGAGGCGATTCTAACAGTATACCTTTTACAGTGATTGGATCAAAAACAAGATTTCAGAGGTTAAAATGAGAAAACATCGAAAACTTCCAAAACATCGAGAAACACCAAGCTTCGAAAATCTGCAACTGTAAAAACAAAGATTTCTTCACAAATGAAATTGCAGGTTGTTTTCAAACAGATTTCGATCCTAATCTTCCAGAAATCGTTGAAAAACATTGAAAACAGATCATCAAACCAAAATATCGAAAACTCAGTTTTTCAAATAGGTGTGGTCTTTCTCGATAAAGGCAGATCCGAAAAATGCAGATGAATCCAATCTATTTCACGCCTTGGCTCTGATACCACATGTTGATCCCTTATTCTAACAATCAAACAATCATAAGAATGAAAGAAGAAGCAGATAGATTGAACGGAAATCTGGTACATCGTGTAATGGCCGTTATTCTCCCTCTAGAGAGAGAGAGCAGCCTGAAACTATTCTCTCTATTCTGCCTCTATACTCTATTGCCTTCTCTTTTTTCTCTCTCATAAGTTAGCTTCCTTTTATAGGAGAAGGAGGCTAACTTATGGCTTACAAGAGGCCTAATGGGCTGATATGGCTCTTGTGGCTCATTTACACATTTAACTAACAACTACACAAATACAAAGGCATCTTACTAGATTGGACATCATAAAAAGTCCTAACAGAAACTGATGAGTGTTCTATTCAAACGCCATGGAATCCGATGTGCAAGTCCGATTTTTATTTTTATTTTTTATATTTTTTTCATATCAATTCATCAATTACATGTTTTTGCAAAATTCTTGTAATTTTAGTATCCAAAAGTTTTTATGCAAAATCGTTTCATATAAATTCACACAATTTCATATTTATGAGAAATTCCTATAGCTTTAGTATGTAAAATATAGTACGGAGTAGTATTTTTGTCATTTAGAGCATTTTTTTAAAATATATTATGCATCTTGTCTTCTAAATCTCATGATTTTCACATGCATGTCACGTGAGTTTAGAATGCATATGTCATGATGATAAGATGCTGTATATGGTCCCCTAAGATGCACCTGTCATCTTACTGAATTGTAATATATATGAACTTCTAAAAGTGCACAGATGATAATGATAAAATGCAACATATGAATTTCAAAATTTGTAATGCACACGTCATAATGACAAAATGCAACGTATTGGCTTTCAAAGTGCAACGTAATAGATTAATTAGCTCAATATAACAACCATTATCTAAATAATGCTCATATCATGTGACTGAAAGTGCAACATATGCACAACTAATATGCAGACGTTGTAATTATGAAGTGATTAATTTCGTAAAAAAGGGAATTTATTTCAAAAATATTATCATATGTGTACATTTTAATAATAAAATGCACATCTCGTAACCTTAATATGTAGTTTCATGTATGTTGAGCACTCATATGCATGTGAGTAGAGTATATAATGCAGCCGCCATAACGATAAGATGCAGTATGAACTTCCAAAGTGCATATGGGAAGTCATAATGATAAGATGCAGAATATGAACTTTTAAATTACATATGTTATCTTACTGAAATGCAGTGTATGAACTTCTAAAATGCACATTCCATGTTACTAATATGCATTTTATTAACTTCTAAAATGCACATGCATATTCATAAAATGCAACATATGAATTACTAAAATGCAGATGTCATAGTGATGAGATGTAGTATATTAGTATGAGGTATTAAAGCGCACATTTCATCATACTAAAATATAATATATGAACTCCTAAAATGCACATGTTATAATGATAATATGCAACATATGAAACTATTAAATGCAGATGCCACAACGGTAAGATGCAAAATGATACCAAAGTGTACATATTATCATACTAAAATGTAATATATGAACTCCTAAATGCACAAGTTATAAAGATAAGATGCAACCTATGAAACGCTAAATTGCAACGTCGATAAAGTTTATCACTGTGTAGATCTAATATAAATTGTGGAGACATTATAAATATAAAATGCACATCCTATCACCTTAATATGCACAACCCGTAACCTTAATATACACATCTCGTAAACTTAATCTAATACTAGTGCTCATTTCTTCAATCGAGAACTGTCCAACTTATCACGTATAAGTTTTGAAAATTGGAAGGTTAATTATGGAGCGTCTGAATCCGTAAATCAAGATATTAGTTTTGTAAATGCTATCATGTGTGTTTGTAGTGATATTACAATCTTCTTTGTTGGATAAAAACTCTCACGTTAATCTTTATATAAAGATTCAACTTCCTAAAAAGAAGTATAATGAAAAATAGATGGAGGTCGAAATATTAGTAGTGGGTTACCTAAAGTGTTTGGATATTGGTGGTAGATTACATTAATTAGTGGTAGAATATTAGTGATGAGTTATTTCCGTTCTTTCCTTTTCTGCTTGGAAGCTCCGTTTTTAAAAAGTTAAATGACCCTGATAACCTTTCCCACCGATCACTCCAATAAAATAGCCCAAACGGTTGAGATTCTCTACATCTCAACACACGCCCCATTATTGTGGATGGCTTTTATCCGCTTTTGATTCTACATATATGGACGGAAGTGATGAGTTTGTAGGTTAGCACCGGAAGCTTGGTTTGCATGAGATCTCACCCCTATATATATGTGTGTGTGTGTGTGCGCACACACACACACACACTACGTATATCACATTAAACTATGGAAATTTTATGAAAATACATAGAAAATTTTGAAGTCCAAGGGGGGTTGATCACCCGCATCCCATCTAAATCCATCCCTAACATTAGGAGAGATGGATTTCTTGGGCTGATAACAAGGGAGTGTTTGCAAATTCGTTTGCTTAAAATAACACTTTTTAAAGTGATATTGGAAAGTAAAATTTGGTAGTGTTTGGTAAAATATGTGTGCTTTTTTGTAATAGAAAAAGTAATAAGTAGATTATAGCTTTTAACTTCTAAGTGCATAGTTGAAGTAGAAATTGTCACTTAAAAATTTCATTTTCAGTTTTTGTAAGCCAAATGGTTTTTTGTTATCGTCAACTAGCCTTCTTTAATATCCTAAATTTCAGGATTACTACATCAGTCAAAGGAAAAATAAAACTGACACCAACTAAATTCTCACAACTACGACTGTAAACCCTATGATCAGACTTAGATACGGTCACCCCTGAAAGAGCAACGCAAATCGCTAACTATGTAGCGGGCTTGACACAGACATCCATCAATGTTCCCATAGATCCAAACATATTCAATGACATAAAAAAGGCTGAAATCCCGAACAAACTGACAAAACTAACAACATAGATGATAACAATAATTCAAATGACAAGAGGTTAAAAATTAAAATCGTTTTTTACTTTTTTTTTTGCAAACATATCCCAAGTTGGCTGAAAGTGGAGAAAGAAGTATTGGGCCGAATTGAGTTTTTTTTTAACTGTGACAAGGACAGTATGTAGCAATAGCCGCTGAAAACTATTGGGCCGTGTTGTGAAACTAACTTCTTGGCCTGATAATAAGTTTGCTGGAGAGTGGAGTCTTTGAAATGAAATCACGAACTGATGGCTAAATTGAGTTTTTTTTTAAACTATGGCCCAATTGAGTTTTAAAGAATAAAATAACAACAAACAGGTGAGGGGGATCACATCCCTTGTAATAACTAGGTTTTATGCGTGCATTGCGCGATAGGATAAATGCCCAATAATATATATGTAGAATATATTTTTCTAATATTTAGTCAAAATGTGAGTAAACTGTCCAAAGAGCATATAATCTGTACAAACGATTGTACAAAATGCTATTTCAGTCTGCACCTTAAATTGATCCATCTTTCGACAAATTACTATCATTGCGGGTATCCAAAAGATTGATTGAACTGGAATTGAAACAGATGAAAATCTACAAAAGCCATAACAAATCGCTTAAGTCATGCTTTATACTACCTCCGTCATACTAAGATTGGGACGGAAGAAGGTGACACGATTATTAAGAAAAGTGGGTTTGTGTGGTTGATATTAAATTGATAAAGTAAAAATAAAGTAAAAATGATTTAGAGCCACACAATTTTTACCAAATTTGGTATGGGACAATCTTAGTGTGACTTCCAAAAAGGTAAAATGGGACAATGTTAGCAGGACGGAGGGAGTAGCAATTGTACCTCATCCCAAGAAGATTCAAGTAGGCGAAGATATACATTAATATGATACCATTAGGACTGATGTAGCTCTCAGTGTCAATGAGATGGCCAAAAATATAACAAGAGAAAATGAACACTATCATTTACTTTGAGAAATTCAGACAGCAAAAAATGACAAATCCACCTATTGAACAAACTAAATTTTACTAATACACGCTTCCAGGTTACCGTACCAAAAATGTTCAATTAAGGCTCTCCTCCTCGAGGAGGTTGCGTTTGAAAGCAGTTGGAAGTCTGGAAGAGGAGTCCTTGAGCCCTTGGTGTGCCCAGCTCCAACAAAAATCAGACAGCTCACATCTAAGGACATGAATAGCTTTAGAAACATGATGCTCGTGCATGTCAATGATATTTTCCTATCCTCTGCCATTGATTGACATCTCCAGGTTCCTGGAAATAAGTAAACAGAACACCAGCCAGATTGAGATGGACAAAAGAGATGAGAAGTTTGGTCCTGGACGGGAAAGATACGCACGCGGTACAGATGCGAAGGACAGACGGAAGCAAAATGGAAAATTAAGTCGCATTAATAGAGTACAAATAGTGAAACACATGGTACCACATCATCAAGCTAGTTGATTACACCAACATTTTTATCATTCCTAATATGTCCTAACCATCATTGGTGCTTATAAGTTTTTAGATAGATAGATACGTCTTACATGAGATTATCTACCATAAATTATAGAGGAAATTACTTAAATAGGAGTAATAACAAAGTTAATTCCAATTTAGGACTATCAACGAAATACAAGATTCTTGGGACCAAAATAACCATTTTTAATTTTTTAAATATTAAAAAATTTAAAATGCTTGCAGTAGCATTGCCGCCGCCAGAGCCGGAGCCGCCTGCCGCCACATCCATGTATGCACACCACCGCTGCCCAACAGGTGTAGCCATCCGCCGCCGACGCCACCATCATACTATCGTTACTGCCGCCAGTGGTAAATCCGGGCCACCACTTCACCTCCAAGCACCACTGCCACCATCACAACTCCACCGTCGTAAATCTGTCATTAAGTCGGCACATTAAGCCTTGAAGATTAGCTGACATTAATATGAAGTTTTACATATGCCAGAAACTCATAAAGTGAAAGATTTATTTTTGGAAGAACACCACAAAGTGCCATTATTTTATCAAAAGTATGAAATTAACAATCAAATATTCGAAAAATAATTTTTTTCAAATGAATAAATTAAACACTCCACCAAAATGGAGAATCAAAATACAAAGTTAGTGACAAAACATCAAAAAAGCCGATTTACATAAATAAAAATTACCATAAACTTGGCAAAATCTTATGTCATCGTCCAAAAACTTGGAATATCGCAAATCTTAAATAAGAAAGCCGAAATCGAAAATATGAAATAAAAGTCCGAATATCAGCAAAAACTAAGGAAAAGAAGAAAAAGGAAAGAAGGAAGAGGAGAATGACGAGGTGGAGGAGGAGGAGAAGAAATCTGTCCAGCCATAGGGTGAGGTGGAATAGCAGTGACGAAGATGGCTAGATCTGCGGGGGAGAAGATCAGAGGAGTGCGATGGAGTTAGCGACAACGGCGGAGTAAGCGACAACGGCGGAGTAAGCGACGCCGGCGACCGGTGGAATCAGCGGCAACATGCGGTGAAGTTCATAGATCCACATGAGAGAAGAGCATATGTGGAGGAGAGGAGTTGCGTGATAAAGTATCCATCGATCGATATGGCAAGGAGAATGAGAGAGAAGGTAAGTACGTGCAAGGACAAAAATGAGATGTTAATTTCCCTATGTTTCATAATAGGAGTGACGTGGTCCACTTTGGGAATAAAAGTGTAAGAGGACTCAACCAAGTTTTACTTCTATTTTGGAGTAATTACTACTCCCTCCCTCCCGAATTGTAAGGGACTTTAGGATTTACGATGTTTGACCGACGATAAAGCAAATCAATTCTTGTTCGTACTCAAATTATTTTAGGGAAAAAGTTACATAATCAGTAACTACATTAAAAACTTTAGAAAAGAATCAAATTTGATATTAAAAAATTGATATATAAAGTACTAGTAAGAGATTAAGAATGATTTGTGTTGACCAAGTGAATAGAAAATATATCTTACAAAATGGGATTGAGGGAGTATGATTTATACGTAGTACTTCATATTTAGATAAATACTAGTTTTTTCGACGCGCGTTGCGCGATGAGGTTAATGCCCAACATTATTTGTGTAAAATAAACAAGTACTTTGAATATGTAAGATGATGTAAAGCGAAAAAATTAGGATGACATTTATATGAGATATCTAACAACGTTATTCGAGTAGTTTTTTATTCGGCAAATTGCCCGAATCTTATGCTTTTCTTAACCCAATCGTCGATTTTATACCAATCATACATGTTCTATTTTTTCTTTTATTGGAGGACTAAAAATGTCAATGTCCGTGCTTGATAATAGGCAGCTGTCTGCTAGCTAATAGCCGGTTGAATCATCATATTGATAATAGCGGAATCCATTAGCTTTTATAACTAACCGCTTTCATTAGCGTTTGAAATATAATGTTAGTAACTTAAATGTTTGCGATTAAATGTTAAGACGTAAAATGACCATTAAAAATATGAATTTAAAAGTATATATTTATCTTAACCTCTGTTTTTTACTCCAGGGGGTCTGGGGAGGGGGACTGGGGGGCCTGGAGTAATCAGGGCTGAAACTCACTCCATTGAGTTTCCAACCCTTGTGTGCCTAGCGGGATTCGAACTCGAGACCTCCCACTAGGCACGATAACCTCACAACCAGATGGGTTGGAATGCTTGATTATTTATCTTAACCTTATTTCTTTTATTTTTAATAAGTCTTTGAAAAGGTTTTAAAATTATATTTACATTTGTTTTAAATAAACGAGGAGTATATTTTTCAAAAAAACTACTCCGTAATAAATAGTCATATGGAGTAGAATTTTGGAGTAGACTTTTTAAATGGATCGGAGTAGATTAAAAAAAAAACTAATAAATAGTCATATTTAAAAGATTAATGCTAAAATATATGAATTTATATGTGTGTGCTCGCATTAATGTACATATCTTAAAAATGATAGTGTTCGTACTTATTTAAAATAAATGTAAACATAATATTTAAAACTTTTTCCAAGACTTATTAAATATAAAAGAAATAAAATGAAGTTAAATATATAAACTTTTAAATTCATTTTTATGGTCATTTTAGAAAAGCTAATTGCAAATTTTAAGTTACTAACATGTTATTTCAAACCGCTAATGAGAGCGGTTAGTTAAAAAAGCTAATGAAATCTGCTAATATCAATCTGCTGATTCAACCGGCTATGAGCTAGCAAACAATTTCTATTATCAAACACGGTCGTTCACATTTTTAGACAATCACTTATGATGACAAAATTCAAGAAAAAGGATTGCAAATGTCAATATCACAATATTTAGAATATGAAATGTTGGGAATTCTAAACTCGGGAATCAAAAGTCACTAAAAATAAATGACCAATTTGTCACTAGGGTTTCTTTTTTCACCAATCTGGCAAACGACCCTTTTTTTTAAACCAATTTAGGAATTTGGCAAGTTAACATTGAAAGAAGATAAATGGAGATATTAAAAAGGAAAACAATATAACCATTTTGAGAAGCCCTTCTTTAGCCAAAGAAAAATGACACGAAAAGTTCTAGGATGAAATGATAAAATTACGTAATAGATACTCCGTATTACCTTGAGCCTTATAGGCTTATAGCCAATGGAAGAAAGTGGGATTTGATTGGTTTCAATCTGTTTAAGCTAATCATACCGCAAGAAGCTAAGGAACAATAAGAATACTGGTCTATTCGTTTGATGAAATATGCCCGCGGCAGTTTTGACGTCAATTCACTCAATCGTTTGATCCACCTTGAGTATAAAAGAGAAGGGCACAATGGTTTCAATGCAAGGTACAAGGCTATATTAGCATATGATTACACCCGTACATTTTTCATACCAAAATTAAAGTACCCTTACTCCCATTAACTATTATAAGTTTTTAAGATTTAAGATTAAGATAACTTTGTTATGTGAAAGTTCGAATATTATGTCGTATTGGGAAGTTAAGTGGAATAATTTGATAGAAGGCACCGAATAATGTGAAGGGTTCTATGGTAACGGCTTCAACAGCGGAACGGCTAAATAGATTGAATTTGATGACGTGAAAGTGTTTGATGATATGTTGGTTGAAATGACTGATTAAATGTAGAATTACCATAAAGGGAATGAACTTATTTATGTTTTTTAGTGGAAATTGTCTATATTAAAATGATAAATCAATCACATTACAATGGACTCATCATCATACAAACCTGATCACACATACGAGCCGCACAAATCGCTAATTATGTAATGGACAAACTGGAACCTTAACATCATCATGTAAATCGACCGTCGTGGTTCTATAGTGATTTGATTTGAAACACTTACAACTCTACCAAAAGCAAAATTAATACTCCGTAAATAAAAATGTAATTCAAATAAAGTACGGAAATAGGCTAAACCACAAAAAACAAAACGACATAAGGAAATAATACAGCAAAGCAACCAACCATCGGTTTGAAGTTATGTCACGTCCTAGCCCGATCCCATTGTACTTGCAGATCGGTTTTGATTGTCTGAAAGTCAATGACATTTATTCCATCCTTGTACTGAATAGTTTGATAAAAATCCCGTAATGCTCTTTTCTCTTGTGGTGGTGGTTCTGGAGGAGGGAAGAACAATGGTGTCATCATAGATGGGTTGAGGAGTATGATGTTATTTGAGAAAAACATATCTAAAGCTCGATAAATGTCATCAACGGTAATCAAACAATATGATAACACCATTTAGGCACTTGTATCATTAATTTGAGAAGAAGCCATGCATAACACCGCTGTCAAAATTGACTGAAGAAGAATTCTAAGGATTAAAACATACACCGCTCACATGAGTGTACAAACCGCTTTTTAATTGCGTGTGAACTTTATCTCTATGATCTCCTCTCGGGCTTAAGCGTTAAAGCTTAAACGACCAAGAGCTTTTGTCGTTCCTCACCTAATCGGCTGCTCACCCTTCTAGGGTTATGAAGGAGGTTACTTGTTTGTGTTAAATATACGGAGTATGAGTGTGATGAGGGGCGGAGGTGTAGGGGTGGCCAACCGGGTAAAAATTTATGTGTAACAATTTATCTGTAAAAATTTAATGTAAAAATTTATATGTAACAATTTATCTGTATAAAATTCTTTGTACTGACCTAGTCCAACTCCTACTCTTGGCTATGCCCCTGAGTGTGATTGTGTGAACTTACCAGTAAATTGTTTTTACTTGATTAGGTTATATTAGACTACTTATTTTTTGATTGCTTTGGGTGTTTTCTACTCTTATGTTGAATTTTATATTGTTTTATACGAAATTCAATTTTATTCTTCAAAAAGCGTGATTTTGAAAAGCAAAATTAGTACTGTTTTTTATGATGAATATGAGTAAATTGATACAGTATAAGAATACACTTTCTATAAAGTATATTAAAAAGCTCACTTGCATTGACTTGGAATAAAATGATACGTTATAAAATACACATAATATTACTTGGAGTTCATTTGAATTTTACTTCAAAATTTGGTCACTCAAAAATTATAGCAAAACAACCATATAATATCGATCTAGAGGGCCTAAACGAGGAGCTTTCAACCTGCAAGTGTTCAAAACTATGAGGTAGCCGCAAATGAATATGTCGACTTCAGATATGGAAACAACTCAGGTATAATCTATTAATATCTAAAGGAGCAGTTTTTTTGATGAACAGTGTTCCCGCTGGAAAACGTCAACATCATGCTTTAGTCTCTTTTTTTTGTTAAAAATAATTGTAAAAGTGTTCAAATGTGTTCGTTGACATGGTAAAAATAATAGCAAATGAAATTGTGTAAATGCTTTCGGAAATTATGTAGTGCGCAGTAGCTGGAAACAGTCACATGAGTAATAGTTGTATTCATTCTATTGGTTAAAAAGAGGTGAAACTGCATATCAATCTTAATTAATTCGTACACTTCATGGAGATGTATTCCTATTGGTTAAAAAAGGAGGTGGCTACTATTCACATAAAAATGTCAGCAATTCGTATTGGTCAAAATGGAGGTGTACATTCTTATTGGTCCAAAATATAGGTGCTCACTGTTGACATAAAGTGAGTGACTTGATGTTGAGTCACTGTTTTGAATGCTTTGTTTCTATTGGTGCATTTGGGTGGTGAGCACAGTAGAAGAGATTGAGTGTATCTCAATTTCTCCAAGCAACATGCTAACACACAACTATAAAAGCAATACTTCAGCATTGCACTTCTCACATCCATTCCCCCTTCAAACTGTAATAGCAAAAGAAGAAATATATATCCTGCAATATGGTGTGATGTTATTTAAATAAGATCTTAATAACTTTCTTTAAATTTATGATATAGGAGGAAGATGATCCAAGTTCACACTACTGAGCAGAGAGTTTTCTTGCAACGTGAAGGTTGACACATTCTTATTTTGTTTATTTTAATTTTAATACTATCTGTTCATAGGTCTCTTAACTAACACATAATTAATACATCAGGTTGGGTCTTCCTAATAAGAGAATTCAACCAGTCCATTATTGAACAAAGAAAGAGGGCTGCCCTAGAAGCTCATGGGGACAAAGTGAAGAGAGAGATTTTTGGAGAATTCTTTTCAACAATGTCATTGAAGAAGATGAAGGGTGTTAAGATCGAGAAAGACTAAATTGGTATAGTGT